GTGCACTCTCTACATCCTGCAGTCTGTTTGCATCCCTATGCGCCTCCTGCACCGGTGGCCCCCCTCCCATCTGTTGTGGGCGGGACTGGCTTTCGTGTGTGTCTTGTATACAGGAAGCTCGGGGCTCTGGCCCCCAGAGCTTGGACATGCTGCCTTTGAGTGGATGTGCTGGCTCTCCGCACGTGCGTTAACAATAAACTTACGCTTTGATCAGACAAAGGACCTTTGAGTTTCCTCCTTCATTGGGTAGAAACTTCCTTAACAGGGTCAGTTATTATACAATGGTGTTTGAATTCTGATTCTAATCTGTGCTGATGAATCTACAGCTTTTTAAACTTCTCAAAGATATCCAAATATCTACTATTTTGTTTTTATGCTATACCCAAATACATCAAAATGCTTTTGAATCTCTGTTGGTTCTAATCTATCTCATTAATCTAGGCATTACTCTAGACTACACTCATAAACTTTTTGTATTGTCAACATTCACAGATGTTTGAACACAAGTGAATTTGGCAAGTATCTAATAAAACTGTACATAAACTGTAATTAACTTTATCTACTTTTGAAGTAAATGTTTGTGAAATGGTCCCTTTACCATTTGATATTAGCACTGGCTACAAATAATCTCTATTTTTGAAAGAATCTATGGTTGATGCATTTATCTAATTCTATTTCTACACTATTGTTTAACTCCAAAGCTCGGCTGCAGCTTGAGCAAAGGCATATTTCTAATTTGTGACTTCTGTCACTTTCAATGGCTGTAACATTATTCTGATTCTAATATTATAGCTGATCTATCAAAAGGATAACATTGTAGGGTACTATTTTAACTCTTACGTGGAAATGTGTTTATGAACAACAAAGGAAGTCAAATTCTACTTTTTTACTACTATTTAACATCTACTAAAACGCTACAATACTCATACTTTATCATTTTCAAAGTTTTTGTCTGTCAGATGTCTGAATACTTAACATGTATATTGCATTTTGTCACAGTTTCTGGTTGTAGCAATAGCATCGGCAATAGACGTTTTCATTGGCTGGTTCTTGTTCTGCAAATGTCTGTGTCCAATAGATCATCAGATGTCCAGAAGCTAGGGACAAACAAAAACAAAAGAAAGAATCATGAGTATCTCTCTCATTTAGCACTCATCAATGTATGATTTAAAAAATATAAACATCACTCCCCAGTTTTCTCTCTCAGATCCTCAGGTCCTCAGGTCCCCTGAGGGTGAGTCTCAGTCGTCATCAGGTCAGGTCATAGAGAGATGTCATCTTGGACATCAGTAGGGTCCAAGCCATGGTTTTGGTCCAGATGCACATCAGGATCTCCAGATACAGTCTTTTCAGTTGAAGCACATCAGGTCATTTGCGATGCACTTCTGGTCAATGGTGCAGTGTCTCAGTTCCTGTACACAGCTTGTTATGCAATAGTTACTCTCTATGGTTAAGTCACTTTGATTCTACTTTAACACAATTTCTATTCATGCTGTTGCTAATGTCCCTCAGACAAAAAGCAAGCGCAGTTATTCAGTTTACTTCTCTAATTTGTGTTTTTATCAGATCTAATTCTCATCAATGTAATTACTTCACACAGTACAAAATCAACAAATCAAAAGTGTCAGGACAGAGGTCAATTAGTCCATGACAATATAGAATTCAAATGAACATTTCTGGTCTCAAAAAATACTGATTCAACTAAAGATTCAAGTGATAGACAATTAAAAATGTGTTTACATTGGAGTAAACTTTTAAAATGCTTTTTTCTCATGTTCTACTTTTTCATGTATCTATATGTAAATATGAATGTGTGAGTGTATGTGTGTGTATGTGTGTATGTGAATTTTGGGGTTGTTTCTCCAGACTCCTCGAACCACCCGTAGGTGTCAAAGGTCACACTGTGGTGATGTAAACAAGCAAAGTGGGCACACTTCCAGATTGCAAAACAACTCACCCACCACTGCCTACAGAAAACCTCACTTTGTGGCCCCGGTCTCACTGCCACTTACGACCATCGGTCTGTAGTGGGGGAGGGGCACACGGAGGTAGCTATGGCGCCTTTACGATCTGCGGCTGGTTGGATGGTGTCTGCTCTGGGCCACTGTTCTGATCCCTCAGTGTCCAGTCCAGCAGTGACCCTGTACAGTGTGGCAGAGTCTGAAAAACAATCCTTGAGACGGCCAATTTAAAAAACAATAGATATCAGTATGCGAATGAGATTGTTTTTCTCCCTAAAGTCAAAACAATTTTGGAGCGCTCTGGGTTTTCCCAAGCGCTATGTAAATAAAAGATTACTTATTATCTTACTAATGATGACATTTTAAAACCAGAAACTCTCTTAATAAAAAACAAGACTCAAATCTAAAAAAACCTTTTTAAACTTTAAAAAATGTATTCTATTTTGTACTTCTGTACTGTGTGATGTTTTTAATCTTGGCTTGCTTGGGTTTCTTGAAATGCGCCATAAAATAGAATGAATTATTATTATTACTCAAATCGCAACTAAAACTGTATGAAAAATCTCTGTAAAAAAATGAATTTTGAAAAACATTAAAACAAAACTTGAAAACATGAAGTCAAAGCAAAAAGATTAACTAAACTGGATTAATCACTTTATGGAATTTCCCTTTTACACTTGAACATTTATAGCATATATTATAATTTAAAATAATTGCTGCATTCTTCAAATGCACTCAATAAACTTTTAAAAACATTTTGAATTGGAAGACACTATCAAACTCTGCTCGCCCTGCAGTGAGCAGCAGCTGCAAGGCCAGAGCTATAGACAAAACAAAACTCACAAAACTCGCAGCTTTTAGACTGTAAATTGGGTCACAGTTTAACTTAATAATACTTTTACAGCTATCCTGTTCTATTCCTAATTCCCTCTTTCTTTTTAGACGAAGTCTACAATCATTAATCACTTTTAACTCAGATTCTAATTTAAATGTTTGAAAAACGGCTTTTGTAACTAAAATAAAAACATAAAAAAATTCTCACAAACAGCTATGAAATATATCAGAGATACAATAATGGACTCACAAAATAAGCAGCAGATTTAAAAAGAAAAGCAAAGCTTTAGCACTAATATTTGGGTTTCAAAAACATAATATTCAAAACTTATTCACTAAAAGGTTATTTAAAAACGTTTAACTGTGTCATAACACAATGTTCAAATGGCAAATTTCGCAAATTTAACGGAATAACTACTATGAAAAGCCAAAAATCCTAAAGCAGTAGCTTTGATTCAGAGCCAGAGCAGCGAAGGTGGGGGCCGTTTCCCTGACAACGGCAGCAGATAGAGATGTGCACACACAGGCAAAAAGATACAGAAGAATAACTTTCAAGATTACTTTGTTAAGCGAATATAACTAATGTTGTTCTTTATACTTTTGTCATCCAAGTCTAGAAATGGCCACTTTCCACACTAGTAACAAAAGGCACTCTTGTCTTTAACGTTTACGCTTCTATTTTATCGAGGTAGCAAACTAATTTAAACTCAAAATCTCTTTCTAAAAAACAAAAACAACTGTTGGATACAACCCTCTCATAGCTCAACTGTAGAAAAACTCGGCAAAAAATGTAAATAACTCACGAAAGCTCTCATAGCTCAACTTTAGATAAAACTCTGCATTCTCCGGTGAACTCTGTTCACTCCAAAAACAAAAACTCCCTTTTTCTGTATGTAATTTAAACCGTGATCACTGAAATATTGTTGCTTCTTTACTTTTGTCATTTATCAGCCTGAAATTCGTCAATTTCAAAGCTTTTGTAACAAAGGCCTCTTTAACACGTTTCCCTTTTTAAAAATTGCTTTTACTTTTATACCATGGTTTTACTAAGGGACTCTAACCCTGAAGTTTCTTCTCAAAGGGACTTTAACCCCGAGACTTTTCTCAAAGGGACTTTAACCCCGAGGCTCAAAGGGACTTTAACCCCGAGACTTTTCTCAAAGGGACTTTAACCCCGAGGCTCAAAGGGACTTTAACCCCGAGACTTTCTCAAAGGGACTTTAACCCCGAGGCTCAAAGGGACTTTAACCCCGAGACTTTCTCAAAGGGACTTTAACCCCGAGGCTCAAAGGGACTTTAACCCCGAGACTTTCTCAAAGGGACTTTAACCCCGAGGCTCAAAGGGACTTTAACCCCGAGACTTCTTCTCAAATACAATTTAGAGAGTTTGACAGACCCCAAAAACAGAGCAAAATTTAGCTAATATCCAATTATGCAGACTTTACATATAAAAAGGTGTCTGCTTACCTTATTCTTGTCAAACCGGTTCGCACGGACTGCCCGAGAGGTCTGCCAACCTCTTTTCCGCGTCGGAATATTCAATTTAAAAAACAAAAGTGACAGAAGCGACAAGAAGCATCCAGGAACAGCTCTTCCAGCCTGCTGGAATCTCCGCTCCCAGACACAGCATGCCGATCTCTCACGCAGAGGAAAAAAAACAGAGCAAACTCCCCCAAAACAATCCAGAGAATGGCACACACGGAGCCGCGCATTCTCCACCAAATCTGTTAGGATTTAGCAGACAGAGACGGATCGTGGTGTGCCAAACTCTGGAAGTTTATTTAAGTTTCTCTCAAGTTCCACTGGTTTACTCTGTTTCTTTCCCTCAGACAGAATAAAGGCAGTACACAGTTTATATAGTCATTGTCACGTCACACATCGAAAGACATACGTGTCACAAAGAGACAGTCACATCATATAGTCATAACATGGAGTCCTTGTAGAGTCCTTGTACAGTCCTGCACGTAGGCCATATTGCTATCTAATACTAATACCGTCATGTGAATTGTTTATTGAGTGATGTCACATTTACACAGACATCAGTGAAACTTAACTGTTGGATACATTTATTTTACAATTACATTTAGGTTCAAATATCCTGCTCCTCCTCAGGCAGAGGTGTCGAACAGCTTCTTGATCCTCTCCTCCTGCTCCTCTTCCTGCTCCTCCTCCTGCTCCTCTTCCTGCTCCTCTTCCTTCTCCTCCTCAGGCCGAGGTGTCGAACAGCCTGTCGATCATCTCCTCTACCTCTTCTGGTTTGTATTTGTGATATTTCTCTGGATTTTTTGTGAAAGTGACGTTTGTGCATCTGAAAAACACAGTTAAGGATTTGAACTCTGACCTGTGGATGACCTGTGGTTTACTTTTGAATGCGCTGGAAAAGGCTGCAGGTCCTAAGTAGCTCTGAAACAGTTGTTTTTTTGTGCTTCACAATTTTTATTGCTTTCTTTCTCCCTGAGATGTTGCTTCAGTAAAGTGTTCATGGTTTTGCACTGGTCCAGAGCAGAGAGGAGAGGATTCATGGTCCGAACCATGCGGCTCAGCCGAAAATTCACTGGAGGAATGATAACTTTTTGAAAAATGCGAAAGAAGCATTCAGCATTTTACTTTGGACCAGATCAGAGAAAATGGTCCGAACCCAGAGGCTCCTCCACCTCTGCTGCTGTGACCTGAAGGACTGATGCTGATTATTACTACTGTTAGCTTTTTAGAATGATCCATTATAATTTTTGTTTTTGCGGCTTCTGGACACCTGAACTCCGACGGGGATCAATAAAGTATCTATCTATGAACCCTCTGTGACCTCTGACCTGTGGAGGAACCCTCTGTAGGCCTGGGACACGTCTTTCTTCTGTTGTCGTCTGATAAAGTCTCGTTGTTCAGGATCAGGAACAGCCCAGAACTTCTGCGTCCGACACACGTCCTCCAGGCCCTCGTTAAATCCCTGAGGACATAAGTCAGGGGTCATAGGTCAGAAGTCAGAGGTTGTGGGACTGGGACACTGACCTTAAACTTGTCCTTGATGACCTGTCGTTCTTTGTCTTTGAGCTGAAACACAAGAGACAATCAGTAACGTGTGCACACCATTTCTGACATAGTAAATACAAGACCACATATGTAATGCACAGTAAAAACTAAAACAAAGATTGACATAACTCCAAATGTGAGATGTGGTATTGAAATGTCCTTGATCACTCTTAATCACTGTCACATCCAGCGCTGGAGTCGTGGAGGTTTTGTTCTTGCATTTCTGAACTACACTTATTGGCCCTCATTTATGAACCTTGTGCAGAAAAGGATGGATTTATTTTGGGAGTGGATTCCAAGCGTGGGATTTATGAGCGTGTGATATCCACCCAGATCCGAGCGTAAGCTCGTGAGGCTGTTGATTAATGCGGAGGCTGAAAAAGAACGCACCCGCCTGCCCTGTTTTTGCGACACGGCAGAAAGGAAGACGGCCAGGAAGACTGTTTGGAAACCTCAAAAGGCCTGTTACACGACCTCCTGAAGAGTTGAGTTTATTCATGTTTGTTTAAAAATAAATATACGCTATATTATGTCAAACAAGCTGCGTTTCCATTCCACAATTCTAAAAGTCAGTATTTTGCAAAAGCCCACTGCAGAACTTCAGAAGTAAATAATGAATGAATGAATGTTTGAGTCTGATTTACAAAATAGATCTGCGAGTGAGTGAATAGAGTGAGTAGCTTTTAAATGCATTCAGAGTTTCTTCGCCTGTATGTAATTTGATTTATCTGAAGCTACATTTTTGTAATTCTTGATAATAATAATAAATTATTAATAATAAACTGTAAATACTGATAAATGATCTGAGATATCAGTGACCAAGATACCACTTTGCATCTGATTCTGACATCACTAATACAATGTTGTCACTCAGAACGACTCACTGTGTGAAGTCGTTCTAGTTGGTTTTGTGATTTGGGGAAATAATAATAATAATAATAATAACAATGTGTATTGGGAAAATAGTCCCATGCTGTACATTGTTATGAACTCTTCAGTAGATTTGTGATTCCCTGAATGTTTCACAAACCAGTTTGTCAATTGTTCGACATACACTAAGGATTACGTATTCACAAATAGTGCTACTCCTCCTCTGTCTGTGTGCGTGTGCGTGTGCGTGCGTGTGTGTGTGCGTTACTTTGGCTCCAGGTTGAAACTGTGGCATGTTCCTGTCAGTCAAATGTTCTGTGACCTTCAACCAACTGAAAACAAGAGGAACACTGTCAGAGGTCAGGGGTCAGTCGGGTGAGGTCAGGGGTCAGTCAGGTGAGGTCAGATGGGTGAGGTCAGGGGTCAGGCTGGTGAGGTCAGGGGTCAGATGGGTGAGGTCAGGGGTCAGGCTGGTGAGGTCAGATGGGTGAGGTCAGGGGTCAGGCTGGTGAGGTCAGGGGTCAGATGGGTGAGGTCAGGGGTCAGGCTGGTGAGGTTAGGGGTCAGGCGAGTGACAGGGGTCAGAGGTCAATACCTCCTCTGGTAGGTGAGGATCTGCTGTTCGATCAGTTCTCTGTAGGAGTTCTCTGCTCTCTTCTGAGTCACTGTCACCAACTGGATCAATTCAGACCTGAGGAGAGACCAGGACTGAACCAGGACTGGACCAGGACTGGACCAGGACTGGACCAGGACTGGAAGTAAGGCAGGACTAAAGCAGGTCTAAAGCAGGTCTAAAGCAGGACTAAAGCCCTGTCCCAATTCTCACTCTAGCTCTTAATTTGAACCTTTTCCCTAGATTTTGCGCATGCCCGAGGGGGTTGTAGGGTGTCCAAATGGATGGAGTGCACCATGGATCTATAATAATAACTGGATAGGGTATTACTAGCTTATAGCTGTCCCACCCATTGGCACAGGGGGCACCCGTGGTACTGCAGACTAAATTCACGCGGGCTACCCAGAAAAAAGTCCCATAGAACTCAATGTAAACTAAAACAGCTCGACCTCAGCTGACAGAGAACCTACAGCTTTCATAAACGTCGGATTTTGAGGGGATTTTGGTGTCCCTTGTAATCCTGAACTTTTTTTCTTCTTAAATCCTTCGGTTTTCTTTAAATCCACACTTTACTGCCACAAACTCTGCTCGTTTCTTTCCCGCTCTGGTTCTGCTCGCTCTGGCCTGATCAGCAGCTCTGATTGGTCTGTGCGTGTGCATGAGAGCCACATACGTGTATTTGGCACAACGCATCATGGGAATTTGGCTACTGCTTAGAACCGAGCGTGTGTTGGGGCCGTATGTAAAAACGTCTCTTTTTAATAAATACTTTGTTTCATAAAGTCCATCTTATCTGTGGTGAAAGCAGGACTAAAGCAGGACTAAAGCAGGACTAAAGCAGGACTAAAGCAGGACTAAAGCAGGACTAAAGCAGGACTAAAGCAGGACTCACTTCTCCAGACTCTTCAGGATGTAGTTGTAGTTGTTGTGGAGGAAGATGGCGCTCAGAGCTTGGTCTTCGTAAACTTTGGATTTGGACAAAAGGTTCAGCTGCAGGTTACCCAGGACTTTACCTGAGGACAGGACAGAAGGACAGTCAGAGGACACAGAGGACACAGAGAGACAGTCAGAGGACACGGAGGACACAGAAGGACAGTCAGAGGACACAGACAGAGGACAAAGAGAGACAGTCGGAGGACACAGAGGGACAGTCAGAGGACACAGAGAGACAGTCAGAGGACACGGAGGACACAGACAGAGGACACAGAGAGACAGTCGGAGGACACAGAGGGACAGTCAGAGGACACAGAGGGACAATCAGAGGACACAGAGGGACAGTCAGAGGACACAGAGGGACAGTCGGAGGACACAGAGGGACAGTCAGAGGACACAGAGGGACAGTCAGAGGACACAGAGTGACAGTCGGAGGACACAGAGGGACAGTCGGAGGACACAGAGGGACAGTCGGAGGACACAGAGGGACAGTCGGAGGACACAGAGGGACAGTCAGAGGACACAGAGGGACAGTCGGAGGACACAGAGGGACAGTCGGAGGACACAGAGGGACAGTCAGAGGACACAGAGGGCCAGTCGGAGGACACAGAGAGACAGTCGGAGGACACAGAAGGACAGTCAGAGGACACAGAGGGACAGTCGGAGGACACAGAGGGACAGTCGGAGGACACAGAGGGACAGTCGGAGGACACAGAGGGACAGTCAGAGGACACAGAGGGACAGTCGGAGGACACAGAGGGACAGTCGGAGGACACAGAGGGACAGTCAGAGGACACAGAGGGACAGTCAGAGGACACAGAGGGCCAGTCGGAGGACACAGAGAGACAGTCGGAGGACACAGAGAGACAGTCGGAGGACACAGAAGGACAGTCAGAGGACACAGAAGGACAGTCAGAGGACATAGAGGGACAGTCAGAGGACATAGAGGGACAGTCAGAGGACACAGAAGGACAGTCAGAGGACACAGAGAGACAGTCAGAGGACACAGAGAGACAGTCAGAGGACATAGAGGGACAGTCAGAGGACATAGAGGGACAGTCAGAGGACACAGAAGGACAGTCAGAGGACACAGAGAGACAGTCAGAGGACACAGAGAGACAGTCAGAGGACACAGAGGGACAGTCGGAGGACACAGAGGGACAGTCGGAGGACACAGAAGGACAGTCAGAGGACACAGAAGGACAGTCGGAGGACACAGAAGGACAGTCAGAGGACACAGAAGGACAGTCAGAGGACATAGAGGGACAGTCAGAGGACACAGAAGGACAGTCAGAGGACACAGAGAGACAGTCAGAGGACACAGAGAGACAGTCAGAGGACAGAGGGACAGTCAGAGGACACAGAGGGACAGTCAGAGGACACAGAGAGACAGTCAGAGGACACAGAGGGACAGTCAGAGGACACAGAGGGACAATCAGAGGACACAGAGGGACAGTCAGAGGACACAGAGGGACAGACAGAGGACACAGAAGGACAGTCAGAGGACACAGAGGGACAGTCAGAGGACACAGAGGGACAGTCAGAGGACACAGAGAGACAGTCAGAGGACACAGAGGGACAGTCAGAGGACACAGAGGGACAGTCAGAGGACACAGAGGGACAGTCAGAGGACACAGAGGGACAGTCAGAGGACACAGAGAGACAGTCAGAGGACACAGAGGGACAGTCAGAGGACACAGAGGGACAGTCAGAGGACACAGAGGGACAGTCAGAGGACACACAGGGACAGTCAGAGGACACAGAGGGACAGTCAGAGGACACAGAGGGACAGAGACGACATCTCTCAGATGAACACTCACAGATGTAGGAGCTCAGCAGTCTCTTGTTGAAGTCGGACGTGTAGCTGGAGGACGACGAACTCTCTGGAACACAGAGACATGTCTCATAAGAACAGGTCTGTCCTCAGGGCCTGGCCCTCAGGCTCAGGTCCTGGCCCTCAGGCTCAGGTCCTGGCCCTCAGGCTCAGGTCCTGGCCCTCAGGCTCAGGTCCTGGCCCTCAGGCTCAGGTCCTGGCCCTCAGGCTCAGGTCCTGGCCTCAGGTTCAGGTCCTGGCCTCAGTCTGTGATCACAGTAATGAGGGGGTGGGGCTAACAGCAGCTGCAGGTGATGATGATGAGGGACTGTGTGGAGCAGGGGTCAGGGGTCACAGCTCTTACCTCGTGGATCCAGGGGGATGTTATAAGTGTCCCCCAGAACTGAGCAGTGCAGCATAAGAGAAGATACAGAACAATTACAGAGAGACACGTCTGAACCGGGTCTGAACCGGGTCTGAACCAGGTGTGACCCAAGTCTGAACCGAGCCTGAACCCGGGTCTGAACCAGGTCTAAAGAAATACCTTGTGAGGCCAGCATGGCTCCTGCAGTCTCATGGAAGTCCAGCAGCTGCTGCAGGAACAGGATGGCCTGAGGAGATAGGAGGAGGTGATAGAGGAGGAGGTGCAAGAGGAGGAGGTACCAGATAAGGAGGTACCAGAGGAGGAGGTACCAGAGAAGGAGGTGATAGAGGAGGAGGTGCCAGAGGAGGAGGTGCTGGAGGAGGAGGTGCTGGAGGAGGAGGTGCAAGAGGAGGAGGTACCAGAGGAGGAGGTGCCAGAGGAAGAGGTGACAGAGGAGGAGGTGATGGAGGAGGAGATGACAGAGGAGGAGATGACAGAGGAGGAGATGACAGAGGAGGAGAGGAGGAGGTGATGGAGGAGGCGCTCTCTTACGTTGCTGGTGAGCTCGTGCACTGTTCCGTCTTTGGGCATGTTGTACTCTTTATCAGGATCGTTCTGAAACACACACAAGTTCATAGAGTGTGCGCGTCCACTCACTTTGAACTTTTGGATTACTTTCCCATTTGGATTACTTTTGTTTAGGGCTGTCAAACGATAAAAAAGATTTTGTTGATTAATTGTTTAGTAATGGTGAGTCAACTCACGATTAATCGCATTTTTTACATTCTATTTCAAATCCACTCCAATTGAAGTTAACAGAGATTAACAAATTTAATGACACATTGTCCTGCGCTCTTTATTAACAATGTAATTAACGTGCGTTAACGCAATCATTTTGACAGCCCTAATTGTGTTGCTTCATCACGTTTTGGATTTACTTGGACTACACTGACCGTCACCGGAGCCACAGATTCGTCACCAGGTTTGAAAGTGGGACTCAGACTGTGGGTGCGAGGAGGACTTAAGGCGCGTTCAGACCAAAAGCTTCAAAAAGCTTTTGACGCGCGTCAGCTGACGCCGGGTTATTTTTGTCATTTTGGTGCTTGAAGCTTTTGACGCGAGTGACGCGAGTGACGCGCCTGACGCGCCTGACGCTGGTGGGAGGAGCTTCTCTGTTGCCGGTGTAGTCCAGAGAAGATGGCGGATTTCCGAAGAGCAGCTTGCCTTTATTTGTTGGTAAAATCCATACAACGTCGTCGTAGGGCTTCTACACAACGTGTATGGGTTCACAGCATACTTCAGAGGCGTGCAGTGTTTGGTGAGTTTCACCATTTACTCCAGGAGCTGCGTATGGACGAGGCTCGCTTTCAGCGGTACTTCCGAATGTCAGTAGCCCAGTTTGATGACCTGCTCACCCGCATCGGAGCTCGCATCGCCCGCATGGACACCAACTACAGGCGCTCGATTCCAGCGGAAGAGCGCCTGTCTATCTGTCTGAGGTTAGTGAGAATTTTCTGATAAAATATCTACAAATACAATAGGAAATAGCGTCCCTAGCATGGATCACGGAGCGAGAGAGAGGAGCAGCCAAAAGCAGTAGTTAAACGTTGAATATACGTTTTAATTAGGACATAAAAGTTAATTGTAATAACATTTCAGGCGGGAAATATACCCCACTAATGTCATATCAGAGGTCTGTTTGGTGATTAAATAGATATTTAAATTTTTGTCGGACTTTTTCCCTCCAGCGCGGAGCTCCAATGCTAACCGGCTAACCACGGGTGTTGAGCGGCGCTGAACACCCGTGAACCCAAGGAGGCTTTTGTTACAGACTTTCTCTGTTATAACGATTGTATTTAGAGTAATCATTAATACAATTGATATATTTGCTATGGCCCTCGTTTGTGCATTTGAAGTCATTTTGAAGGTGCATTGTGTCACTGTAGTGAAGTTATTAGAAAACTGATCAATTAAATCAGCATTGTCTGCTACTTAGTACTTAATATATTCAGATTCCCAAGTGATTAACCCCCCTGTGATTTCACAAGAGAGGGTACATTTCCATTGTTGGTGCAATTCCTGAAAACAAATTTACACAATCATATTGTATGATTAATTTAAAATATTTTTGTATATTGCTGAGTCGTATTTGTATCATTGTAGGTTTCTTGCTACTGGGGACTCCTTCAGGACCATAGCAAGCAGCTTCAGGGTGGGCATCTCCACCATCTCCAGCATCATCCCAGATGTGGTGGCAGCCATCTGGGACGGCCTGGTGGAGGAGTTCATGCCTGTGCCTGGAGAAGGAGTGGAGGTTGTCTGCTATGGAGTTTGAGGAGCGGTGGAACTTCCCTCTTTGTTGTGGTGCTATAGATGGGAAGCACATCAACCTCAAGGCACCCCCCAACTCAGGCTCCCTGTACTTCAACTACAAGGGTAGGCACTCCTTGGTCCTCCTTGCTATTGTAGATGCCAACTACAAGTTCAGGGTGATTGACGTAGGGGGCTATGGCAGAACCAGCGATGGAGGGATCCTGGCCAACTCCACCTTCGGTCAGGCTCTGCATGCGGGAACACTTCCTCTGCCAGCTGACCGGCATCTCCCTGGAGCAGAGCACCGAGGCCCCCTGCCCCATGTCTTTGTGGCAGATGAGGCCTTCCCACTGCGGAGGAACTTGATGCGGCCTTTTCCAGGAAGTGGCGGCGCTAACCCTGGACAGCGCATTTTTAATTACCGCCTCTCCCGAGCCCGGCTGGTGGTGGAGGATGCGTTTGGCATTTGGTCATCGCAGTGGAGGATGTTTCGTCGGGACCTCGAGATCCGGCCAGAAGTTGTGGAGAAGTGCGTGAGAGAGAGCAGCAGAGATTGGAGGAAGAGCTCATTTTGTGATGGAGCTGGAGCTGCAGTCTGCCGCAGGAGGGCCATCAGCTCCAGCTCCAAGCGCGATAGCTCCTGGGCGGAGGTGTCCTGGGTGGTGCGCTTCCTCGCTCTCTTCCTTTGTGGACCTGCAAACACCACAAGACAATGGCTTTAAAAATATAAAGTCATGAGTATGTAGGATCTGATAATCTATGAACAACTTTTAAATCCTTTTCTTATGTTAAATAAAATAACTAGATCCTATGTAAAAACAGTATTCGATTTGTATATTTCACTTTTTGATGCCCACATATTCAAAAGTATTTGTGAAATGTTTAATATAACGTTTATACATTCACAACAATAAAATTGATTTCCTACACACCTGTAGGTGCAGCAGCAGGGGAACGACCGGCAGCAGAGGAAGAACCAGCAGCAGAGGACGGTCCAGGAGCCGAGGAGCGGTCCAGGAGCCGAGGACGGTCCCGGAGCCGAGAACGGTCCAGAGGCCGAGGACGGTCCAGCACTCGGCTCTGTCTCTGAACTTGACTCCGTATCAGCGTCATCTGTTATTAAATAAATTACTTTCACTTCACAGCACGTGTACAATCATTTTAAGAACGTTAATACTCATATAAATAACCTTGCTATAAACAATAATGACAACAAAACAGTTTAGTGGGAAGCTGCATGACTTCTTTCCATACATTGTTTTAGCTACAGACCTACATCTGACATTAGTTTACAGCATATGTACATTTATTTTGCCAGTTGCTTATTAAGAACGTTAATACTCATAAATAACCTTGCTATAAACAATGACAACAAAACAGTTTAGTGGGCAGCTGCATGACTTCTTTCCATACATTGTTTTAGCTACACACCTACATCTGACATTAGTTTACAGCATATGTACATTTATTTTGCCAGTTGCTTATTAAGAACGTTAATACTCATAAATAACCTTGCTATAAACAATGACAACAAAACAGTTTAGTGGGCAGCTGCATGACTTCATTCAATACATTGTTTTAGCTACAGACCTCCTGCAACTGACACCTCCGCTGCTGCTGGTTCTTCCTCTTGGAGGTGGCTGTCCCCCCTCTCCTCCTCGGCCCTGTGTGCTGTCATGTTACCAGTAGATGGCCTCGGTGTTACGTAGGGCTCGAGGAAGGAGAGCGATGCCAAGTACCTCCACCTCTGCACTGTCCCTGCTGCTGCTGCACCACTGCGCCTCCTCTCTTTCTCCTTCCTGCACTCCCTCATGAACCTGTCCCTCAGGCTTTTCCACCTCTTTTTGATTTCTTTCTCTATATGAACAAATGGACTTGTGAGCGGGAACAGAAATCATAGCGACTGTACATTGTACGACTCCTGACCGGAGTTTACTAAACATGGAATACAGATATGAATTCTTTACATAACTTACCATCGTACCCGATCTCCTCGCTTATCCTCCTCCAAGCAAGGTCCTTTTTATTCCTGTCCCTGTATAGCGGGCTGGAAACAGCGTAAAGCTCTGGGCGAGAGCTAATCGCCACGATTAAGCTCTCCTCCATGTTCTCGAATATGATTTTGTTTCCCGCTTCCACCGGCTTCATCGTAGAGCGACCCTGTCTCCTGATTGGTTGAAGCCCGCGTCAAAGCTTCAAAAGCTCAGCTTTGCTCAGCTTCGGCGTCAAAGGGATTGTTGTGATACGCGAGCGATTCGCGCGTCAAAAGCTTCAAGTGAGCGCGTATTACGCGCAACCTTTGAAGCTTTTGACGCGCGCCAAGTGACGCCGGGCCCCTCGGCTTCACCTGACGCGCTTCACCATTCACTTTCAATGCAAACCTGACGCTTTTGACGCCGAAGTTAAGTCCGGTGTGAACGCCCCTTAAGGTTGTACTGTTTATTGTTATTGTTGGATTTGGAGTAAATGGCGTCACAGCAGGTCAGTGAGTGGTTGTTTATGTTTAGTCAGCGTTAGATCGATCACAGTGTGTTTAAAGCGCCATAATTATCTCAATTTCATTTAGTAGTGCGCGCTCCGAGGGGCTGAGCGTTACAGTAGTACTAATACTGCAGTACTAGTACATAGTACTAATACTGCAGTACTAGTACATAGTACTAATACTGCAGTACTAGTACATAGTACTAATACTGCAGTACTAGTACATAGTACTAATACTGCAGTACTAGTACATAGTACTAATACTGCAGTACTAGTACATAGTACTAATACTGCAGTACTAGTACACAGTACTAATACTGCAGTACTAGTACACAGTAGTACCTTGATGCTGTCGGCAAACTCCTCCAGAGCTCTGGCTCCGATTGTCTCCATGGAAGTGATGAGAGCAGGAAGTTTGTTCTTAGTACTGGCTGCTGTACCCTACACACACACACACACACACACGTCAAAGTATGTTCCTGTATTCTATTACAGTTGTGTTGTTGTATGACAGTTGTGATGCTGTCAGAGCACAGCATGTACCTGTAGTACATGAGAGCTCAGGTAGTACTATGGCTCTATAATAATAACTGGATAGGGTATTACTAGCTTACAGCTGTCCCACCCATGGGCACAGGGGGCGCCCGTGGTACTGCAGACAAAATTAACGTGGGCTACCCAGAAAAAAGTCCCATAGAACTCAATGTAAATGAAAACAGCTCGACCTCAGCTGACAGAGAACCTACAACTTTCATAAAGATCGTATTTTGTGGAGATTTTAGTGTCCATTGTCATGCTGAACTTCATTTTCTTCTTAAATCCTTCGGTTTTCTTTACATCCACACTTTACTGCCACAAACTCTGCTAGTTTCTTTCCCGCTCTGGTTCTGCTCGCTCTGGCCTGATCAGCAGCTCTGATTGGTCTGTGCGCGTGCATGAGAGCCACATACGTGTATTTGGCACAACGCATCATGGGAATTTGGCTACTGTGCAGAACCGGGAGGACCAGACGATGCCCAAATATGGACGAGTTCCGCTAATCTTTCGGTCCCCGTGAAGTCCCTGCGCTACTGAGCACAAGCCATTCATTTGAATAGGGCGCCATCTTGGATCACCAGGGCTTGGGTAGTACCTGTAGTACTACCTGAGAGCTCGTACTTGTAGTATCTGCAGTAGTCTCTCTCCCTAAAACCTTCAAACAAGGTCAGAAATCTAGGGGTAATACTGGACTCAGACTTAAATTTTAATAGCCACATCAAATCAGTAACATCAGCAGCTTTTTACCATCTAAAAAACATTTCCAGGATCAAAAACATAGTGTCTAAAGCAGACTTGGAGATTCTTATCCATGCATTTGTCTCCAGTAGGTTAGACTACTGCAATGGCCTGCTCACAGGTCTGTCCAAACAGGCTGTAAAACAGCTGCAGTACATTCAAAATGCAGCAGCTCGAGTCCTGACTAGAACCAGGAAGTACGACCATATTAGTCCGGTCCTCAGGTCTCTGCACTGGCTTCCTGTGGCTCAGAGAATAGACTTTAAAACAGCTCTGCTTGTGTACAAGTCTCTCCATGGCCTCGCACCAAAATATATTAGTGACATGTTAGTCCCATATGAACCAGCCCGGACTCTGAGGAGCACAGGGACTGGACTCCTGTTAGTGCCCAGAGTCAGAACTAAACATGGGGAGGCTGCTTTTCAGATCCATGCTGCTAAAATCTGGAACATTCTTCCTGAAGATGTGAGACAGGCCTCCTCTCTGACAATGTTTAAAACCAAGTTAAAAACGGTGCTGTTTAGCTGTGCATACAACTGAGGGATTTTATATTTTTATCTTTCTTTTTAATGTTCTGTGATTATTTATGATTTTAATGCTATCTTGTTCAGCACTTTGAGTTGCCTTGTGTATGAATTCGGGCGTTCTGCTCTCCCAAAATTCCATCCACTGAGCGGCGCTGTGATCAAAAAATGACACCGTTTGTTGCCCAGTTCACTTCCGGTTGATTTCATACAATGGCGAATATGGCTCACGAAAACAACAAACGATTGACAGTGCCTGAATTGCGTGAAAGGTTGAAGCGAAAGGGTATTTGCAGTGTGGGAAAACGAAAGGAGGAATTGTTGTTGCTAGTTCAACGAGCGGATGGTGTTTATGAAGATTTAGAAGAAGATGACAGCGAGCAGAGTGAACGAAAACGGCTGTGTGTGCGAGTGACAGATGGTAACAATGAGAATGAAGTTCAGCTAAGAGGGAAGAATGTGAATTGGACGGATGATTTGCGCGATATGCCACTAGTTAGAGACGGGAATGTATTTGCATACAGAAAATGACGAAAACACTCAACCATTTAGAGAAAATGCGCCGGGCAGAGAGAACCGGAAGTTGCGAAGGCAAGTGTTACCCATAATGCAACGCAAAATTCAGTCGCTCCCCCGCCCATCGGATGGAATTTTGGGAGAGCAGAACGCCCGAATTGTGCTATACAAATAAACTTGCCTTGCCTTGCCTTGCCTAGTACCAGTAGTACCAACAGGAGTACCTATTTCACATGTATTAGTACCTGTAGTACCTGCAGTAGTACCTGTAGTACCTGATAGCTTGTACCTGTAGTAACTGAAGTAGTACCTGATAGCTTGTACCTGTAGTAACTGCTGTAGTACCTGATAGCTCGTACCTGTAGTACCTGGTCGAAGTCCCCCTTCTGGTTCTTCAAGTGCCTCAGCACAGGGAAGATGGACAGAACAGCAGAGTAATCGTGTCTCAGGATGTTTCTGCGAGACGCACTCACTATGTTCTCCCCCTCTAACACCAGGTTATCCAGCGCCTCCTGCAGGAGGAGAGGAGGAGGAGAGAGAGGGGAGGAGGAGAGGGAGGGGAGGAGGAGAGGGAGGGGAAGAGGAGAGAGAGGAGAGGAGGAGGAGCGGAGAGTGAGAGGAGAAGAGACGAGGGAGACAGGAGGGCGTGGTCCGGTCTCTGGTCCGGTCTCTGGTCCGGTCTCTGGTCCGGTCTCTGGTCCGGTCTCTGGTCCGGTCTCTGGTCCGGTCTCTGGTCCGGTCTCTGGTCCGGTCTCTGGTCCGGTCTCTGGTCCGGTCTCTGGTCCGGTCTCTGGTCCGGTCTCTGGTCCGGTCTCTGGTCCGGTCTCTGGTCCGGTCTCTGGTCCGGTCTCTGGTCCGGTCTCTGGTCCGGTCTCTGGTCCGGTCTGACCTGGATGAGGGAGTCGAAGGTCTTCTTGTGGTGATGCTCTGGGATGATGTCGCTGAGGAGACGGTACTCGCTCTGAGCCAGTTTGACGAACGCACTGATGCAGTGAATGTAAGAATCCATCTCTGAGTCCAGGACCTCGTCTTTACCTGCAACAGAGACAGGTTTGAACCAGGTCTGAACCAGGTCTGAGCCAGGTCTGAGCCAGGTCTGAACCAGGTCTGAGCCAGGTTTGAACCAGGATTGGACCAGCACTCCTCCATCCAACACTGATTGGCTTTTTGGTTGCTATGTGGTTGCTATGAGAGAAGCTGTCTCAGCTACAGTGACGTCACACGCTGTATGGAGACTCGCAACGCACAAACCGGACCAGGAACCCCTGGTATCATTGTACTTCGATCTTTGTGCCTGTTTGTGCTCAGTCCGACAGAAGAACCCAGGGCTGGTGTGGCATCTGGTGAGGGGCCTGGTGTGGCATCTGGTGTAACATCCGGTGAGGGGCCTATGGTGGTGTAGTTATGCTCGGGCAGTGTAGTTTTGCCCGTGGCAATGTAGTTTTGCTCGTGGCGGTGTAGTTTTGCTCGTGGTGGTGTAGTTTTGCCCGTGGCAGTGTAGGCGGTGTAGTTTTGCTCGTGGCGGTGTAGTTTTGCCCGTGGCAGTGTAGGCGGTGTAGTTTTTCTCGTGGCAGTGTAGTTTTGCCCGTGGCGGTGAAGTTTTGCCCGTGGCAGTGTAGGCGGTGTAGTTTTTCTCGTGGCAGTGTAGTTTTTCTCGTGGCAGTGTAGTTTTTCTCGTGGCAGTGTAGTTTTTCTCGTGGCGGTGAAGTTTTGCTCGTTGCAATGTAGTTTTGCTCGTGGCAGAGTCGTTTTTCTCGTGGCAGTGTAGTTTTGCCCGTGGCAGTGTAGTTTTGCCCGAAGCGGTGTAGTTTTGCCCGAAGCGGTGTAGTTTTGCCCGTGGCGGTCACTTACCCACGCTGCTCCGGTCGCCGGGCTCCGACAGCAGTTTGAGTCGCAGCTCGTGATCTGTTTTCATTTCAAAAATATGTTCAATAAAGAAAAACTGACCCAATAAAACCAACACCAATTGAGGACACGCGACACCAGCGACAAACCGGCCAGACCCCCCACAGACCAGCAACCATCAGGGACAGAGACCAGCCAGACCACACACCAGCAACCATCAGGGACAGAGACCATCAACCATCAGGGACAGAGACCAGCGAGACTACCCACACACCAGCAACCATCAGGGACAGAGACCAGCGAGACTACCCACACACCAGCAACCATCAGGCACAGAGACCGACCAAACGAGGGCCATTAGATAAGACCACCATGACCATATCTGAACCAGGTCTGAACCGGGACTGAACCAGGTTTGAGCCAGCTCTGAGCCAGATCTTAACAAGATCTGAACCAGGACTGGCCCCAATGGATATAAGTGAGTGTAGTTATAAAGGTCAGGAGGCCTAGAACCAGATGATCCTAATGAGTCACTAAGAGTTTGAAAACAGTTTTTCAAGGTCTAACACTGGTCTAACACTGGTCTACCACTGGTCTAACACTGGTCTAGCACTGGTCTAACACTGGTCTAACACTGGTCTAACACTGGTCTAACACTGGTTTAACACTGGTTTAACACTGGTTTAGCACTGGTTTAACACTGGTCTAACACTGGTCTAACACTGGTCTAACACTGGTCTAACACTGGTCTAACACTGGTCTAACACTGGTCTAACACTGGTCTAACACTGGTCTAACACTGGTCTAACACTGGTCTAACACTGGTTTAGCACTGGTTTAACACTGGTTTAACACTGGTTTAACACTGGTTTAACACTGGTTTAACACTGGTTTAGCACTGGTTTTGAAAAGGTGTTGAACTGGACAAAAACTGGTCTAACACTGGTCTAAAACTGACCTAAAACTTGTGTTGAACTAGTCTAAAACTGGTATAAAACTGGTCCTGAACTGGGGAGAGGATTACCTTCAGCTGTGACGTTAGCTCCGGTCTTTTTTCCATCGAGCTGAGAGTACTGTTTGAGAAGGTTCTGCGCTTTACGGATGGTCCCTACAGTGCCCCCAACAGGACACAGGAGGAAGAGCAGAGAAGAAGGACCCAAACAGGGAAGCAGGAAACCAAAAAGGACAGAACACAGTCTCAGAGAAGGAAGCACAGAGCACCACATGCAGGGGAGAGGGGCGTGGCCTCTACAGCTAAAGGGGCGTGGCCTCTACAGCAGCAGAAAGCGTGACATCATCAGGTTAAAAGCATTTACACATAACAGTTCAGTACGTTTGTGAGTCAGACTGGAAAAGAACAGGTTAAAGACTAAAGGTAGTCTCTCATCTCAGTGTGATCTCCCTCTCTCTCCTCCCTCCTCCCGCTCTCCTCCCTCTCCCCTCAGTGTGTGTGTGTGTTACCTGGCCCTTGGGGGACCCTCTTGGTGTGTGTGACCTGGTCTCTTGGGGACCTTCTTGGTGTGTGTGGGTGTGTGTGTGTTACCTGGTCTCTTGGGGACCTTCTTGGTGGGAGTCTCCTTGCGTTTGCTCTGTACTGCTGGTGAACAGAGAGTCCCACAGGGGGCGCTGTTCTTTCTTAGATGATCCTTCAGTCCTTTAATGGAGCGATCCAGCTGAGAGGAACGAACCTGGTAATACACCACCATGAAGTCTGTGGAAAGAGGACACCCGGTAATACACCACCATTAAGTCTGTTGAGGGAGGCCAGAGGGAGACCAGAGAGAGGCTAGAAAGAGACCAGAGAGAGACCAGAGTTAGACCAGAGAAAGAGACCAAAGAGAGACCAGAGAGCATCCTTGCCAATGAAGGACCTCTGACCTCTGACCTCTGGCCTGGACTCACCCTGGTTGCGGCCGTATTCCGTCAGCCACACTGAGATGCAGATAATGTCTTGCAGGACAGACTCGGGCAGATGTTCCAGGACCACCTCGTCTTGCAGCAGCTCCAGCTCGTCTTCGGGGTCCAAGTCTGGTCCCAGAGCGTCCAGGATGAGGACAGGGGGGACAGGCTTACTGTAGCGGCTAAGAAGGCTCCGGAACTCTGCCTCCAACTGCTCCTTCCCCTTCTCAAACAGACCCTTCTGCACACAGAGGTCCTCACAAGGTCTACACAGGCTCTCTCTCTGGTCTCTCTCTCTGGTCTCTCTCTCTGGTCTCTTCTCTCTGGTCTCTTCTCTCTGGTCTCTTCTCTCTGGTCTCTCTCACTCTGATGTCTCTCTCTCACTCTGATGTCTCTCTCACTCTGATGTCTCTCTCACTCTGATGTCTCTCTCACTCTGATGTCTCTCTCACTCTGATGTCTCTCTCTCACTCTGATGTCTCTCTCTCACTCTGATGTCTCTCTCTCACTCTGATGTCTCTCTCTCACTCTGGTCTCTCTCTCTCTCTGGTCTCTCTCTCTCTCTGGTCTCTCTCTCTCTCTGGTCTCTCTCTCTCTCTGGTCTCTCTCTCTCTCTGGTCTCTCTCTCTCTCTGGTCTCTCTCTCTCTGGTCTCTCTCTCTCTGGTCTCTCTCTCTCTGGTCTCTCTCTGGTCTCTCTCTCTGGTCTCTCTCTCTCTGGTCTCTCTCTCTCTCTGGTCTCTCTCTCTCTGGTCTCTCTCTCTCTGGTCTCTCTCTGGTCTCTCTCTGGTCTCTCTCTCTCTGGTCTCTCTCTCTCTGGTCTCTCTCTCTCTGGTCTCTCTCTCTGGTCTCGGTCCCTTGATAGTACGCACCACAGTGTTGAGTTCAGGGCTGTCTGGGTTGTTGTCTTGAAAATACTCCACGGCCTTTTGGATTTTAGCGACACATAAAAGGTACTGGTCGAGGCGCCCGGTGGGACTGTGGGACAAACACATGTCTTTAACAGGACTAAAGCAGGGCTAAAGCAGGACTAAAAGCAGGACTAAAAGCAGGACTAAAAGCAGGACTAAAAGCAGGACTAACGCAGGACAAAAAGCAGGTCTAAAGTAGGTCTAAAGCAGGTCTAAAGCAGGTCTAAAGCAGGTCTAAAGCAGGTCTAAAGCAGGACTAAAGCAGGACTAAAGCAGGACAAATGCAGGACTAAAGCAGGACTAAAGCGGGTCTAAAGCAGGTCTAAAGCAGGTCTAAAGCAGGACTAAAGCAGGTCTAAAGCAGGACTAAAGCAGGTCTAAAGCAGGACCAATGCAGGACCAATGCAGGACCAATGCAGGACTAAAGCAGGACTAAAGCGGGTCTAAAGCAGGTCTAAAGGAGGTCTAAAGGAGGTCTAAAGCTGGCCTAAAGGAGAACAAACGCAGGGCTAAAATAGAAGTAAAGCCGGTTTAAAGCAGAACTAAGCAGTCTCACCCCTCCCGTATAACTCGCTCCGTGTCCTTGGCCACATGGTAGTATCCGATCACATGGTCCATGCAGCTCATGGTCTTGTCCACATTGTCCTGGAGCCGCTGTAGGTTCTCTGTCTGTTTGTGAACAGGGATGATAGAGTTCTCCAGCTGCATCAGGCGCCGCTCGAAGGACGACAGGATGGATACCTGACACACACACACACATCAGGGTCAACATGGGTCTAAAGGGGTCCCACAGGATCTACAGGGCTCGCTCCTGGGACCTCTCCTGTTCTCTTGGGTGTTAAAGTGGAAGTACCATGCCCTTGGTGAGCTGGTCGCTCTTCTCCAGGTTCTCTCTGATGAATGACAGCGTCTCTTGCTCCTGAAACATATGTTTTGTTTTATTTATCACATGATTTTTGCCCAAAGAAAATTATCAAGTAATTTTTTATATGAAGGATAAACATTAAAATGCTTTCCATCTGTAACTCCCTGAATCCATAACTGTGTAGAGTCCTCAGACACAAACAAACAAAACCCCTGAGGACCATAGACTGTCTCTGGAGTCTATGGGCTGACTCCAGATATACAGGTAACTGGATGAACTGTGTTTTCTGTATGTATGACATGTTTATAAACCTGTCACAGAGGAGATAGCTTTAGCATTAGCAGCGTCAGAACCTGCTTCAATTTCTCTTCGATCTCCCGTTTCCTTGCAGAGTCCTCCGTGGGGACCATGGTGGAACCGGGGCCCATCCTTCGCCTCTGACCCGGGGTCTTAGGTCTCTGTCTGGGGGGGTCTCAGAAGGGGATCCGTGAAGTCTCTGCGACACCGCAGCTAACAGCTAACGGCTAACGGGGCAAAACAAGCAGACTTCCGGGTATAGCCCAGCCCCGAGGAAGTTACCGTCACATGTTTAATGTTTATTTTTTATATTCGGTTTTTTTACGTTCTCGAAGGAAAAACTCATTGACGTTATTTACACATATTAACATATATTAACATTTGTTTTGACTGTGGTTCAAATTTCCCTCTATGACGCAAATGTAATCTGGTGAGATAACAAACATTTGTCATTCAGCCAACTTTAGCTCTGTCACATGTGATCAGTATGTGATCAAGACATCCGAACAGACTTCAGTCTGGTTTAACTACAGTGGCGCCCCCCGTTGTCCGTAATCTTACATGTATAAAGTTCTTCTTATGTCTTTTGTCTTTTAATAGACATAAAAGATGAAAAAAAGAAAGCTAGTACTGCTAAATTACCTGACATGTTTTAGCGGTAGACTTTTTGTCTTATCAATAGAACCTTTAAGCCTTGTCCGGAGTCCTCTCAAAAGACTCTCACTCTGACTGGTCTCTGGTCTCGGGTCTCTCTCTGGTCTGGTCTCTGGTGTGTGGTCTCTGGTCTTAGTGCCCATCTGTCCTTCAGTAGCAGCTGGTCTCAGGACAAAGACATTTCTAGAGTTTTAAAAGTCAGACCTTCAGCAACAAAGAGACTCACTGCACTGTCAGCCCAAAGAGGAAAATAGAAACTCACAAAAGAAAAATGTTATTTACGTGAGTAAAGTTACAGACCCCAGCTTAAAACACACTTCTACTTTAAAAAACTTTTGCTTTTGTTCTTTTGTCTTTTTCCATTTAAACTTCTATTCAAAACTACAGCCAATCAGAAAGTCGGAGTTGCGTTGCTTCCTTGTTCTGGCCCAATCACAGCGCTGGTCTTCGTGCGGTCCCTCTCGCTCACTTGTCTTCGTAAAACCCTGTGCGTAACTCGCGTAGGAACTTTTGAAGCTAGTACTCGGTCCTCGGTGAGTGTGTCCTGTCTCCCCGTGTGTCTGTGTTCTGTGTGGTCGGTGTGTGTGGAGCAGTTCTGCGGAGGATCCACGGGTGTAGTGAGTACACATCTGCTGTGTGTTATCGGCGTCTCCCTGGTAACAGCTGCATCCCATCGTAAACACGGAGGAACAATACTTTCATAATTTTTATGTTTTTGTGTTTAGTTTTCCACCGGATTGAAGAAATGTATACATGTTTTACCTTCATTCACTTTTACCAAAGAGTATAGACCTGAGAGAGACCAGATGGAGAGACCAGAGAGAGAGACCAAAGAGAGAGACCAGAGAAAGACCAGAGAGAGAGACGAGAAAGAGAACAGAGAGAGACCAGAAAGAGACCAAAGAGAAGAAAAAGCAACAGCCCGAACTCTGAGCTCAGAGCTTCACTTACCCAAACACAGCTCCACGGCTTGTTCTGCTGTCATTCTGCAGAGTACTGTCCCTGTGTGACGTGTGTGTAGCCTTATATATTGTGTTTAAACTACAACTGTCATTAGTCGGAGTGTTCTCACTGATGACTCGGCCGCAAGCCGGGTTAGAGGCCCGATCCTCCTGAGTCCTCAGTGGGACAGGTCTGAGTGTAATGACGTGTTCTCTGCAGGTGATGCATATGACCCGTGGCCCCGCCTCCTCTGGCATGACTCCTCCCCCTGTCCACGTGGCCACGCTCCCTCTTGAGTTGTCCGTCAGTGGCGCTCGGATCGGGATGAGCAGACGTCCGACAAGTTCGCCAGGGAAGGGTTTCGGCCGGTCTGTGTCTGTGATCGGGGAACGCAACAGTTTGGTGAGGACTGGACCAGGACCAGAACTGAGACCAGGACCAGGACTGACCGGGATAAATACTGATATTATGTTCATATTTATATCGGATTTTCCCAAATTTTAGGAAAGAACCCCTCAGTCCACTTTTGAACAAAACTCTCTGGTCTCTGGATCTGACAAGCATGTATCACCAGAATGATTGACAATAAGGAGGACAATGAGTCTTGATGATCCACCCTGGAAGTAGAAAATCCTCCTGTATACCTAGTGTAAACAAGTTATTTCTACTTTGTCACATGTTTAGACTTCGTCAGAGGCAGTGATGGTCACCAATCAGAGAGCAGCAAAGTGATCATGGGGAAGAAAGCTGGTCTGTAAACAAGGGCTGCTAATGTGTTTGCCAATGCGGAAGTACCTGTTAATAATATAATACTGTACATCCATGGCGCAGCTCCGTAAGCAGATACTCCTGTTATATGAAGTTCCTGGACGGTCTTGGGACCCAGAGACGTAGCCGATTTACAATCGTGGAGGAGAACTCAAAGCTAACAAGTTTCTTAGGGCAGTATGTCAGATTGTCTAAATTCATGCTGCTGAAATTTGGCGAAAGCGCGTCCATACTTCCAACAACGCGCGTCCATGCATCGGCAGTGGGAACATATCTCTCAGCCTGACTACGCCCCCTTTGTGGTCTCGTGAGAAGTGAGTCCCAAGCATGGATCTATAATAATAACTGGATAGGGTATTTCTAGCTAATAGCTGTCCCACTCACAGGCACAGGGGGCGCCCGTGGTACTGCAGACTAAATTCAGTTGTCTTTAAATCACAATTGTTTCCCCGCTCTTGTCGTGCTCTGATCAGCAGCTCTAATTGGTCAAAGTGTAGACGAGCCCCTCTGTGCATGCGCATGAGAGCCACACACCTGTATTTTGCGCAAAGCATCATGGGAGCTCATCTGCGCAGAACCAGGAGGTCCAGACGATGCCCAAATATGGGCGAGTTCCATTAATCTCTCGGTCCCCATACATATCTTATGCGCTACTGAGCACAAGCCATTCATTTGAATAGGGCGCCATCTTGGATCGCTGGGTTTGGTCCCAAGTGTGAGCCAAAGTGAAGGCCGTCATGATTTCAGACACATCTGTGGTCCTTTTGAGGGAGTGCGGTCAGTATCGTTAGAAGTTGGCGTGGTTAGTGTTAGGAGGTGTGGTCAATCTGAGGGGGCTTGGTCAGTGTGAGGGGGTGTGGTCAGTGTGAGGGGACATGGTCAGTGTGAGGGGGCATGGGTCAGTGTGAGGGGGTGTGGTCAGTGTGAGGGGGTGTGGTCAGTGTGAGGGGACATGGTCAGTGTGAGGGGGCATGGTCAGTGTGAGGGGGTGTGGTCAGTGTGAGGGGGTGTGGTCAGTGTGAGGGGACATGGTCAGTGTGAGGGGACATGGTCAGTGTGAGGGGGTGTGGTCAGTGTGAGGGGACATGGTCAGTGTGAGGGGGTGTGGTCAGTGTGAGGGGGTGTGGTCATCCTTAAACATAATCAAAGACATAATGGACTTTTACTGATATTGTGTTTCCAGGGCGACGCTCTGGGACCTCGCTCTGTCAAAAACCTGCGACGATCCAACAGCACCACCCAGGTCAACCACATGAGGGCAGCATTCAGGTCAGGACAAGAGACAATGCTAACCTGCTAGCTCAATGAGGCCCATTAGAGAAGTGTTCAGGGTGAAGCTCCTATTGACTTACATGTACAAATAAACTTATTTACATAAAAGTGGAGAGCACATGAACATCACAAGTCAATGTGAAAGAATTTGACACAAAGTGGTTTGAAGTTATCCCATCACCTAAAGCAGGTGTCATGTGACCTCTGTCCTCATCCCATCGGTGTCTCTTATTCTTCTGCTTATTGTGATGGAGATGTGTTTATGCTAGCTAATGCTAATGAAGCAGATGGAGTCCGGAGCCATAACATTTGACCTCCCCCCTGCACGCACTTACTGTAGTCTGCAGCTGTGAGGTTCATTCTACAGAAGCTATAGCAGAGTTTATATTTACATCGTATTCCACTTGTAGCGGCCAAAACTTGCCCTGTGCAAGGTCTGCTGGTTAGAGTGTGTTGGCGTCTCGGACGAGTTTATTGTATCCAAATACACGGATCCAACACTGAGGTGACAGACAACGGTAAAAAGATGTTTGCCTCCACACTACAACACCTGTCAGTAATAGACCACCATGCACAACCAGTTCACAGTTATGGCAGGTATGTAAAAGAGGAGAATAATGGAGGTCCCTGGGGGTGACGAGGGGGTCAGTGTTCATTGAGCAGTCAGACAGCCTGGGGTAGAGGTCTCCTGAGCCCTGATCTTTATCAGTCACTGCAGAAAACAATGGTTTGATTAGTAATAGAATAACATGTTAGTATTCAATAGTATAGTGACTGTAACAAACAAATATTTATATGTTATATAAATCCTTGAAGCAGAGACTCAAGGTTAAATTATTAACAATCAGACACACAAATACATTGAATTATTGCTATGCCTTTAGTTGATAGTTAATACCCCAAATATCGCTAATCTCTGGGTCCCTATGTATGTCCCATGCGCTACCGAGCACAAGCCATTCTTTTGAATAGGGAGCCATCTTGGATCGCTGGGGCTTGGTAGTGCCCTGCTTATATAGGGCATACCATGGAAAGGTGACGCCACACAGTGACAGAAGGCAGAAAAATAATATACAGTGAAATGGCTTCAACACCGCTTATAATATGAGACCAAAACTACAGAGCAACTCATCCACAGGCTGGAACCACGGGAAAGAACATGAGTCATCGGATGCCCAAACTACAGGCCCAGCTTTGCAAAGGCTCTCACATTCATGCCCCAGTGTGTGTGTGTTTCTGTGTTTGTCTGTGTGTGTGTATGTTACAGCCCTGAGCTCGCAGAGGTGCTCCCACACAATGAGAGAGGCCTCAATGCGAGCAGTGACTCCCCCACCTGGAACATACTGGTACTGCACCTTTGTCTCTCTCTCTGGGGTCTCTCTCTCTGGTCTCTCTCTCTGGTCTCTCTTTCTGGTCTCTCTCCCTGGTCTCTCTCTCTGGTCTCTCTCTCTCTGGTCTCTCTTTCTGGTCTGTCTCCCTGGTCTCTCTCTCTGGTCTCTCTCTGGTCTCTCTTTCTGGTCTCTCTCTCTGGTCTCTCTTACTTTGGTCTCACTCTGGTCTTGCTCTGATCTCTCTAACATGTTTTGTTTCTCAGGACTCTCAGGTCCAGCTCAGTCCAGGCCCCTGCAGCAGTGTGGAGAACAAGAGGAGAGACAGAGTTAGCCTGGCTGCTAGCTTCACCGCTAACAACAGGTAAAAGCATCAAACATGTTTATTTGTAGCGCATCCACAACAGCAGCAGGAGCACATAGACTGAAACACATGTCAAATATAAAAGGTACATGTTTCAGCTTTACAAGTCACTGATGATGGACAAGAAGAGCTCTCTGAACAAAGCACAGTGTTTAGACATGTGTGTGTTGTGTCTGTGTGTGCAGGAGCATCAAAGGAACCGTCGGGAACTCTGTGAATTCAATCCTGAACAACAACCACAGCTGTGACACACCACGCACTCCAAAGAGCTTCAACCAGCGGCCGGCTTTCAAGTACTAGTCTTTCTCTGGTCTCTCTCTCTCTGGTCCCTCTCTCTAGTCCTTCTCTCTGGTCCCTCTCTCTGGTCCCTCTCTCTGGTCCCTCTCTCTGGTCCCTCTCTCTGGTCCCTCTCTCTGGTCCCTCTCTGGTTTCTCTCCTTGGTTTCTCTTTCTGGTCTCTCTCTCTGGTCTCTCTCTGGTCTCTCTCTCTGGTATCTCTCTGGGCTCTCTCTGGTCTCTCTCTTTGGTCTCTCACTGGTATTTCTCTCTGGTCCCTCCTGAAGTTCTCCTTCTGTCTGCAGTAACCTCCTGAAGGCCTCTGAGGTGTCCCAGAAGAACCTCAGTGTTGCTCCCTCTAGGAGACAGCAGGTCACTGAAGAGGAGGCAGAGAGGTGCGACCTCACATGTCAAATACCATGTGACATTTACCACAGACACATGTTCGTAACATGTCTGTGTTGAAGGTTCATCAAGCAGGTCCATCACGCCGCCATCACCATCCAGCGCTGGTTCAGACGCCAGCGGAGGAGACGCTCTCACCCGCAGACCCCAGAGAACCAGGATCAGTCTGACCAAAACCAGACTCAAAACCAGACTGACCAGCTCCAGTATCAGCCCCAGAACCAGGACCACAACGAGGCCCAGGGCGAGCTGCAGCGGTTGCTCAGCACCAAAAGAAAGGTAACTGTGCTTTTGCTGTGAAATGTCCTTCTAAATGTAACCAGGTGAAGAAACATTCCTTGTTTTAAGAAAAGCTTGTGTTTTATTTTTTTATTTTTTTGTGGTTGCCAGTGCTATGTGTATTTAAGATTCAAATAACAACATACTGGACTATTACCTATTACAGTGTTGTGCCAGTTCACAGCTTTTCTGAACTAGTTCAAGTTCAGTTCATACATGCTCAAAGTGAACAGTTCACGTTCAAAGTTCACATTTTTAATTCTGAACTAGTTCAAAGTTCAGTTCATTTTACTTTTTTCGTGAGATACTTAAATACATATGTTTTTCACACTAAGAGCTATATATATACATATATATATATATATATATATCTCCTGTACACCCACAGGAGGAGAGCCTTTTGACTACAAAACAGACTAGATTTACATGGTTTTCAATGGGAGCAAAATGGAGTTGTCCCATCTCTGCTCATAAACTACAGACAGTAATGCGCTGCAGTGTGTGTGTCTATACTTACTATGTCAAATGTAAACTGTGTAAACTTTGTCGCTAACTCACCCTGTGTTTTCATCACGACTCGGGCACATGTGAAAAGCACCAGCTCACAGCACCGCACCGCAACACAGAGTCGGGGTGCGTTCACAGACGATGGAAACCGTAGGAATTTTTAGATTTCGGCAGAAAAAGTGCGAGAATACAGGAGGGAGGAACTTTCTCTCGTTGCGTTTCAAAAGAGAAAACAGATTCCAACGTTCATAGTGATGTCGGCCGTTCATGACACATAAAATGAACTAATTCACGTTCAAGTTCTTCTTTTAAAAATGTGTTGCGTTCAGTTCAACGTTCACGAAAAAATGAGCGTGTTCAATGAACGCGTTCTTTTGAACTCGTTCACGCACAACACTGGTAACGCATAGCTCACACTGGTTGGTTTCAACTGAAAGCTGTTGGGGCACACTTGCTCTCATGCGACATCCTTCTAAACTATATATTTGGTAAGAGACAATCTGTATTGTTGTATTTTGTTGTTCATCTTGTTTTACATTTTAATGTTTGAAATGTAACCAGTGGACTGTATGTATTGTTTTGTCCTGTTACAGAGGTGCCACTGCCGTTTTCTTATCAATCAATCAATCAATCAACGTTTATTTATAGAGCGCCTTTCCTACACAAGGCAACGCAAAGCGCCTCACAACCCATATAACATCATGCATAAATCATCAAACATTAGAATTTAAGTAAACATAAAAAGACAGATTAAGAGCACAAGATATATAAAATCACACAAGTAGTTAAAAACCGTAAAACATTAAAATCACACAAGGGATTACAATCATAAATAATCATAAATAATCATAGCGCATTAAAAAGATTAAAGATAAAAACAAATATAAAATCATTCACTTGTATGCACAGCTAAAAAGAACTGTTTTCAGTTCAGTTTTAAAAACTGCTAGAGTAGACGCCTGTCTCACACTCTCGGGAAGACGGTTCCAGACTCTAGCTGCATGAATCTGAAACGCAGCCTCCCCATGTCTAGTTCTGACTCTTGGCACTAACAGAAGTCCAGTCCCTGTGCTCCTCAGAGCCCGAGTTGGTTCATATGGCACCAACATGTCGCGGATGTACCCTGGTGCGAGGCCATGGAGAGACTTGTACACAAGTAAAGCTACTTTAAAATCTATTATAGGTTAACTGACACAGATTTGGTGGTTTTGTCAAGAGAAATAAAGAACCCCTTTTTTTTGGGGACACTGGGCCTCATGTATGAAACTTGCGTACGGCCAAATCAGGGTGTAACTGATGCGTACGCAAAATATTTACACTTTCCACATTTATCAATCTGGACGTGAGTGTACGACACGCAAAAAATATACGCCAGGTCTGGAGGTGGTGTAAATGTGTACGCGCATTTCAACCTTCATTACATCACGCCAAAACACGCATGAAATGCAAGATTTGGACAAAAATAAACATATTCCCACTCTGACAAGATTATAGGCACACCTCTCACATTACAAATATGCAATTTTACTATGTTTTGTTAGGGCTAGTTTGTGTTATTAAATAACGTGCAAGATGTCAAACTTAGTCTCCCACAAATGTGTGGATTGTTTTATGCACGTACAATCAGTGCGTAATGGCATTTGGTTCATGCGGGTCCAAGCAAAGACGTGCGCCAGCGTGGAGTGCTGCGCGGGTCTGATCAGGCTCTGGGACATGTAGGGGGTACGCTCTGGTACCTCCCGGTACAAGTGTGCCACATGGTCCTGGCTCGGTTCTCCACAACAAGCACAAGACCACAGTGTGCCATGATGCACTGGTGGAGCAGCCCTGGATGAGAGACCATGGCCAGCACCGCCTTTGGCCTGTACAGCTCAGACAGGCTCTCATTCAACCATTTTAAAATAATAACACAAGTTGACAGCCAAAAAATGGTCAGGGATTTCTCAACTGATTTAGACTAATTTTGGTGTTCTGAGTCCGAATATCACATGCATTTTGCTCTATTAGGTCAACTTTTTGAGATACAGCCATAGTGTTACGGATTATGTACGTCTACGTTATTATGAATTCTGCTTATCAAATTTGATGGAGTAAATAAAAACTGAATGACTTTGGATACGTTGACTTTTATTTCTTGAGGAAAACGGAAAAAACGTCAAGGGTTTCTCAGCTGATGATCCACAGAAATTTGTTTTTTACGCAAAATCGATTTAAAAACATATTTCTGTAGCAAAAAATCCTGACCTCATTGAGCAAAACCAAGGTCGTTTTCGGACTCAGAGCATCAAAATTAGTCTAATTCAGCTGGAAAACCCTGGACTATTTTCAAAAAATATTTTTTGTTACCCAGTGTAATCACATAGTTTGAAGATAATTTTATTTCTTTATATTTTCTTTTGGATGCTTTGGTCTGGCAGTCCTCCCCCTGGGCTGCTGAGCACATCTTCTATGGGCTGTGCTAAACACCTTTTTGTTACCTTTTTAAGGTTGCTTCCTTTTTTTTCACTTGTAGCATAAATGAATGAATTCTTACAATTGGCCCAATATATCAACTTTTTGATATAATATAGCGTATTTTTCTTCGAATATGAATAAACTCACCTCTTCAGGAGTACGTGTAGCAGGCCCCCCGCTGTTTACAGATGCTGTCATTTCTTTCCATATATTGTTTTTTGAGCCCCTTGATGCCACTTTTGAAAATTCCAAATAGTAAGACTTTATTCTTTTTCCCACTTCGTTCATAATGGTCTCAATCTCCTGCTCCGTGAAGTTATTTTTCCTTAGCCGTTTACTCACTAACCAGACCCTGCGCCGTATACGTACTTACGCATATGTTTTGCCTCATTCACCTCTGGCAAAGCAATGTGGGTTTTCAATAGTTTTGTGCATGAAGCCCCATAAACGCAATTGATCTTGCTCAAAACTGCTCATCCACTGCCCTGTTCTCCGCAGCAGAGAGGATGCAACGCGCATGTGGGAACTGGTTCATTCATTAATTTATTATTTATTTATTTACTTCTAAATTTCAGGAGAGATGAGTGCTGCAGTGGGTCTAGACACTGGGGAAAAACGTGTATATATAATAGAGCGTATATATATATATTTTTTTAACGTGAATAATCTCAGAAGTGTGTGTTTTTTGAGGCTTCCAAACAGTCTTCCTAGACGACTTCCTGCTGACCTGTCGCAAAAACAGGGCGTGGAACAGGCAGTTTCTGATTATTTCTAGGTGTGACTTTCATAAATACGCTGGTTTTGAGTGCGGCATTTATCAACAGCCGCAGGTGCGTACGCTCAGATCTGTGCGTATCGCACACGTTCATAAATGACACGTCGGATCTTGCGTAAATGGAATATACACCCAAAATATACACCCTTTTCTACGCAACTTTCATACATGAGGCCCACTGTGTGTATTTGTGTGCGCGTATGCTTGTGTGTGTGTATCCTGTCACTGTGAAATGTCCTCCTTAGGAACACATTATGGATGTGTGTGAGTGTGTGCTGTTACTCTGAAATGTCCTAAAGAATACATTATGGGGATACAGTGTGAGCACTGTTACTGTGATATGTCCTTATAAAGACCACACTAAGGGGACAATGTGTGTGTGTGTTTTTACTGTGAAACGTCCTCCTAAAACCCACATTATGGGGACACTGTGTGCAGGAACTGGAGCTTCGTTGGACAGAACACAAAGATGAAGATCGACAAAAAATTAGGGAAGAGAAGGCTCGACTTGCCCGTGTTCAGGCCATTCAGGTACTGCTACTGCTACTACTACTACTACTTCTATTACTACTACTACTACTACTACTGCTACTAGTGCTACTAGTTGCTACTACTACTACTAGCGGACTTGGTCAGGGCATTGAAGAGAGAGTCCAACCTCCAGGCAGATTACGTGATCTACAAAGATAAGTGTTAGTTTAACCTGGTGCTGCTCACTTTGCACCTGTAGATGATAAAACTAACTCACTTTGCACCTGATCATCTCCAGTCTGAGCTCCTCCACATGCAGCCTGGATATACTACCCACTAGATTTCTACAATCTGTTCTGAGCAGTCTGTTACCTTTGCTCACACAGATAGTAAACATGTCCCTTCATTGTGGAACATTCCCTAAGGGCCTGAAAACTGCAGTCATCAGGCCCCTTCTGAAGAGCAGTCTGGATGCCATGGTACTTAACAACTAAGTATCAGTGTTACAGTGTTAGACTGTAAACATCTGCAGTTTATTTAAAACACTGCAGCTCGAGGCCTGACAAGAACCAGGAAGTACCATCACATTAGTCCTGGTCTCAGGTCTCTGTCCTGAAGACCTCTCACATTAGTCTTGGTCTCAGGTCTCTGTCCTGAAGACCTCTCACATTAGTCCTGGTCTCAGGTCTCTGTTCTGAATCCCTCTCACATTAGTCATGGTCTCAGGTCTCTGTCTAGAAGTCCTCTCACATTAGTCATGGTCTCTGTCTCTGCTTGTTACAAGTCTCTCCATGGCCTCATACCAAAGTACATCAGTGACATGTTAGTGCCATATGAATCAACTATGAGGAGCACATGGAATTGGCCTCCTGCTGTTGCCAAGAGACAGGACTAAACATGGAGAGGCAGCGTTTCATATTTATGCGGCTAAAATCTGGAACAGGTGAGACAGGCCTCTCCTCTGATAATGTTCAATGTGTGTTTTAATGACTTGTATGATTGTTTCTAACTTGTTTTGTTTAATATGTTGAGTTGCCTTGTGTATGAAGTAGTAGTCATACTCTTCGACTACCTCTGCCGATCCTCTGTTGAGCTGATGGTTGAAACTCCCCCTGGTGGTGTGTTCAGGAGCTGCAGCAGAAGAGAGTCCAGCGATCCTTAGAGCCACAGTTCACCTTCGTAGACCAGCAACCGTCAGTGAGGAGCAGGACTGGACCTAAGGCCAGCCCTGGAGTTGCCCGGACTGGGTCCAGGCTTGGGTCCATGTCTGAGTCCAGGCCGCTACCAGAGACCAGGCCACAGACAATACCTCAACCTGAGTGTCCTAGAGAATGGAGAAACATGCACAATGGTGAGAACTGCCCAAGCACACACAAACACAAACACAAACACAAACACACACACAAACACACACACACACACACACAAAGTCATAGGTAAAAATAAGAGTAGCTAATCTGATGTCCTTCGCCAGACGCCCATCTGAATGTGGACCTATCAGAGCTGACCTTCAGAGCTGTGTCTTCTGCTTCGTCCAATCAGGTAAGACTTTAGAAACAAATATACATTTTGTAGACTCCTATATTTGACAGAAATATCTGTCAATTTGGTGACTCACTGTTTCACCGTCTCTCACACTCTGGTCTCTCTCTGGTCTCTCACAGGTCTCTCTCTGTTCTCTCTCTGGTCTCTCCATGGTCTCGCCATGGTCTCTCTCTGGTCTCTCTCTGGTCTTTCCTTGTTGAGGGGTTCGCAGCCTTAAAACTGCTACTTCAAGGATCTCACTTGTGTGTGTATATAAATATATTAAAAAACACACACACACCTTTCGCCCTCCGCGGGCGGTTATCCCTCTAATCATTTTAAAGATTATTTTCTTATCTACAATAATATACAAGTGTCAACAATATCAGACTTTGCATTCAAACGATATAACACAAAATATGGGCATAAAATATATCACTTTCGAAAAAGTTTTTTACCTTTGGGCTTGTGTTGCATGAATAAATCAGCTCTCCTCCCAGCTTCCAAAACCTCTTTCTCTCTGGAACAGTCTATTGAAAAATAATATCCACTTGTATTTCCCAAAGTATAATCCATTCTGGGAAAAAAATCCAAAAATGTGCATTTATCTTTAGCAAAAACATCTGGTATCCACGTGTTCCTTAGCTCCTTAGCTTTAAAATGACACCTTCCATGAAGCTCTACGAGCTATTTTGGGTCTGCAACATCTCCCGTGAGTTGGACAAGCGGCTGCGTTTTGCGCATAGGGGTCACTTCACATTTGTTGTCATTCGACTGCTTTGCATCTACTTCCTGGCCGAAAGATTGACATGTCCATGTAGCCAATGAGGAAAGCTTTCTAGCAAGGGGTGGGACAAGGGTGGTGTACCGTCTTATTTGCATCAGAATAAGTGTGCGTGATGGCAGTAAAAAGACGCTCTCGAAGAAGTCTGAAACTTTTAACAGTTGTTGTCAACAACACAATGAAAATAGGGTTTGAATATTGTGAACTTACAATGAAGTATGCCTTTTTTAGGGCCTTTAGAAATTGATAATTTTAGGCGAGGCTAAAAAAAATTGTTTTTTTTTCAAAACTTCAAAGGATGCAGAGTGAAATAGGAAGGACAAACATTATTTTAGTGTATATTTCCATAAACTAGAAGGCTCTAGCTTTAATATGATGCATCATACAAGCATGTGAGATGTAAGATGTGTTTTTAAATAAGCAAAGACATTTGGGTATGCCCAACTTTTGTGCACAAGCCAAAATGAGCCCGGTGTTAAGAGGTTAAATGGAAAGACAACATAATGTATGTTAGGATTCAGCAGACAGAGACGGATCGTGGTGTGCCAAACTCTGGAAGTTTATTTAAGTTTCTCTCAAGTTCCACTGGTTTACTCTGTTTCTTTCTCTCAGACAGAATAAAGGCAGTACACAGTTTATATAGTCATTGTCACGTCACACATGGAAAGACATACGTGTCACAAAGAGACAGTCACATCATAGTCATAACATGGAGTCCTTGTACAGTCCTGCACGTAGGCCATATTGCTATCTAATACTAACACCCTCCCTGTTGTGGCAATTCTTAATGGTGTCTTTGCCACTGTAAGCAGCCTGGGCTATGGCTTTAGCTTAACTTGTGTTCTGGTGAGTAAAAAAAAAAAAATCGATGACCAGACTTACAGAATAACGGTGAGGTTGTTTTAATGAGGCACAGGTTTCAGTCGACAGGTAACAGGTCAAATTCCACATACAAGTTTCCACAAAAAGTTACACAGTCAAAAAACTGTTGGGCCTCAACCCAGGCCAGCTTCCACGCTACCACACTGCCTCACTGGTTCCCCCTGGTGTACACAAAAAAGAACTGCATCATACCTGGCCCCACCCCAACACACACAAAATAAAGCATATTAACTTAAACTTAGCATTTGTTCTTTTTTTTTTTTTGATAGGAAACAAAACGGCCTTAACAATCCCGGCCCCTAATTATAAGGTCTTATAATTACCATAACAACATAAACACTGTAAATTTTTTTTTTTTTTTTTTTTTTGGTATGCTCACAACGTCCATTATGGCAATTCTTGTAATGCGTCATCATAAGTTCATGCCTGTGACTTCAGCAAAAGGCATAATTTATCCACTGGTCTTTCAAGTATATTTGTTTTTGTCTTCACCAGTACTCGTCGTACCAATCCTTTGTCATCTGAAATTGTTTTCAGTATTCTTCCAAGCAACCAGGAATTTCTTGGTGCGTTTTCATCAAGAATCAGCACAACATCATCTGGCGCAAGATTTTGTTTTGCTTTGGTCCACTTTTGTCTTTGTTGAAGGCTAGGTAGGTACTCTCTTACCCACCGCTTCCAAAACAAGTCTGCCATATATTGTTTCCATCTGCGCCGTGAATAGGAGTAATTGATGCTGAACAGACCTGGAGGCAGCACTGGTTGTTTCTTTAAGAGAAGCAGGTGATTTGGTGTGAGGGGCTCCAAGTCATTTGGGTCATCCGAAGGTGTGGTTATCGGTCTGTCATTGATTATGGCTTCAACCTCGCAGAAAAAGTGTCTGTAGGCATTCATCATCAACGCTTTGTTGTTGAAGGACAGACTTCAGGATTTTCTTAACCAGCTTTACCTGGCTTTCCCATACGCCACCAAAATGTGCTCCTGCAGGGGGGTTAAAGATCCATTTAATGCCTTTGTTTGACAAGACGTTTTGAATCTTTTCTTTGTCTATATCACGGAGTGATTCACGGAGCTCTCTTTCGGCTCCCACCATATTCGTGCCATTATCAGACCTGATGAGTTCTACTTGCCCCCTTCTGCACATGAAACGTCTAATTCCATTTATGCATGAATCAGTGTCCATAGAATGGGCAACTTCGATATGCAGAGCTCTGGTTGTCAAACAAGTAAACAACATTCCGTACCTTTTTACAAGGCTTCTTCCTCTCTTTATTTCATACGGTCCGAAATAGTCGGAAAGCGTGGGCCTTTTACAAGGCCCACGCTTGTAAAAGGTGGTTTGTCAGGAAGCACTCTTTCGGAGGGAAGATCAGACATTTTTTGTTCTTGAACTTTTGCATGATGTTTTCTGCACGTAACACAATGAGACAGGAGACTTCTGACTGCAGAGTTTGCAGCAGGGATCCAATAGCGCTGGCGAAGGCGAGAGAGCATGTAATTACGTCCAGAGTGTCCTGTTCTTTCATGTATGTCTTGCAGTAATAGCGAAGTGACATGGTGGTGTTTTGGGAGTATAGATGGGTGCTTTTCCTCTTCTGGCAAAGCAGACCGGCTAAGACGCCCCCCAACCCTCAGTACGTCATCCTGCAAGATGGGGTCAAGTTTGTAAATTGAGCTTTTTCTTGACACTTCGGCATTACCACTTTGCAAAGCCAGACTTTTGTCTTTGAAGGAAACAAGCTGACAATGACGTACAGCAGCCTTTTCAGCTCTTTTTAGCTCATCCACAGTTAGTGGCACACGGAGTATTTTATCACGTTTCCTTCGAGCTCTGGTTTGTCTTGAAGCAGAGTCCTTTACTTTGTCCTTCTGTATAGAAGCAAGCAAGTAGTCTTTAACTCTGAGAATCCAGGCAATAGCTCTTCTGAGACGTGTCCAACTTGAGTAATGACAAATAAGCTTTTCCACAGAGCAGCCGTGTGTAGACGCCTGTACAGCATTAACTTTCACTTTCCGCACTTCAGTGTCGTCTTCGGCGAGTGTAAAGCGTTCAGCAGTGTCCCTCTTTCGATTAATGTCCTTCAGAAAGGAAGGCCCTTCAAACCACGTGGAGCTATTCAGGAATTGGCGGACTGTCAACCCGCGTGATGCAAAATCAGCTGGATTGATTTTTGTGTTCACATGGTTCCACTGATCAAGACCTGTTGCGTCTTTAATGATAGCAATTCAGAATCAGAATCAGAATCATTTTTATTGCCAACGTAAGTAACGGGAGGTCACAGACTTGGAAATTGCTTTGGCTCAGTGCAACAGTCAAAAAGAGATAATAAAAATAAGAATAAAAAACACTTCTAAAGAATAAATTTAAATTTAAAATAGAGTTACAGTTACTATTTACAATATACAAGTGCACATGGTGCACACAATGTAAGGTGACAGCAGTACAGTGAAGTAAAGTGACGTATGATGGGCAGTAAAGTGACTTTATAAAGGGCGGGGGGACAGGTTAAGAAGTGTTCAAGAGTCCAACAGCAGAGGGGAAGAAACTGTTCTTGTGGCGGGAGGTTCTAGTCCTGATGGACCGCAGCCTCCTGCCTGAGGGGAGTGGTTGGAATAGTCCATGTGCAGGGTGAGAGGGGTCGGCTGTGATACGACCAGCCCGGCCTCGAGCTCGGGCGACGTACAGGTCCTGCAGCGATGGAAGGCTGCGGCCGATCACTTCCTCTGCAGAGCGCACAATGCGCTGTAGTCTCTGTTTGTCCCTGACTGTGGCTCCAGCGAACCACACGGTGATGGAGGAGGTGAGGATGGACTCGATGATGGCCGTGTAGAACTGCACCAACATCTGTGCAGGCAGCTTGGCTTTCCTGAGCTGCCGCAGGAAGTACATCCTCTGCTGGGCCTTCTTGATGAGGGAGCTGATGGTCGGCTCCCACTTGAGGTCCTGGGTGATGGTGGTGCCCAGGAAACGGAAGGACTCCACAGAGGTGATGGGGGAGTCCATCACGGAGGGTGGGGGCGGGGGGACAGTGCTCTTCCTGAAGTCCACAATCATCTCCACTGTCTTCTGGGCGTTCAGCTCCAGGTTGTTACCACTGCACCAGGACACCAGCCGGTCCACCTCCCTCCTGTAGGCGGACTCATCGTTGTTGGAGATGAGTCCAATGAGGGTGGTGTCGTCCGCGAACTTGATCAGCTTCACGGAGTCGTGGCTGGAGGTGCAGTGGTTGGTGTACAGGGAGAAGAGCAGGGGAGAAAGAACACAGCCCTGTGGGGCTCCTGTATTTATAATCCGAGAGTCCGAGACATTCTTCCCCAGACGCACTCGCTGCTTCCTGTCCGTCAGGAAGTC